GCGGAGCCACTTTTGGCCAGCGTCGCAGTTCGACGATCGCGATTCGCTGGAGCTGGGTGATGTTGAGCGGTTGTATTCCCATGTGTTTGAGGATGATGACAATACAGATGTTCCAGTGCGGCTTACCTCTCCTCCACCTGCTGTGCCGGCACCCGTCGAACACGCTGCTGAAGTTGAGTCCCAGGGAAAGCCATGTTGGACCTGTTTACGTTGCTCCTCCACTCACTCGACGTGGTCCGTTGTGCATGGGCGGTGGTCATGTTTGGATTGTGGGTCTTCGGAGTTTTATGATGCTGCGGAGGCCTTTCAACAGTCTACAGAGCATGGTCTTTGGGTTTACATGCCCCATGGTGGTCCACCAGCCCCACACGTTGAGCCCCGAGTTCCTGTTCGCCCTGCCGGTCGACGAGCACCAGTGAGAACCCATGTTGGATATGACCCTCATGAGGTCCCTGTTGAAGCTTCAGAGCAACCGGAAAGTGAGGCACCCACCAATGACCCTTCGGTGGATCCTGACACCTTACAGGTTTTGCCTAGAAGGCGACGACGCCGTCGTCGAGGAGCATCAGTTGAGCAAGCCGCCAACGCTGAGGATGGAGTTGCAGCTTCGCCCACTGGCAGGCGACCTCCGACAGTTCCTTCGATGGCACAGCATGAGCCCAATCCAGTTGAGCCTAGGAACGAGATTCTTGAGGCCCTTCGACAGCTGTTGGATGAACGCAAGCAGAAACGTTCACCTGGCAGTGACACCGCTTCTTGGAACAGCCGTCAAGGCCCAGAGAAGCATGTGAAGTGGCGTGGCGGCGCTGCACCAGTTCCGCCACAGTGGAAGCCCCAGCAGAACGATCTTCGTGCATTCGCTCGTTGGGAACGCCGCATCGAGATTTGGCGTTTGCAGGTCTGTGCATACATGCCACCACAGGATGCTGCATTGATGTTGTTGACATCCCTCACGGGGGAAGCAGAGTTGGAGGTCGAACACCTCGACCTGAAGCGTGTTCATGATCGCAATGGTGTGCAGTACATTTTGGACACCCTCCGGGAGCCGTTGCAACAAAAGCAGTTGTTTCAGAAACGTACATTGTTGGATTCATTTGAGAAGCTGTCCAGGTTTCCCAATGAGAGCCTCCGGCAGTACATCAACAGGTATCGCCGAGTGGAGAAAGACCTTGAGGCGATCGGCATCTCGAGCTCCAACATGTACGACAGCGAAAGCAAGGGCAACAGGCTCTTAGAGCGTGCCCGATTGGCGCCAGAGCTCCAACGGTTGGTCATGATTGCAGCTGGCAATAGCCTGGAGTACGAGCGGATTCAAGAGGCACTCGCCCTACAGTTTCCGGACTTCAAACCGCCACCAGCTGTTTTCCAAAAGGAGCGTGATCATGTGACACGAACACCGTCGCATGGCAAAGGTTCGTACAGTTCGAATGCTTCGACATCCGCCTCTTCATCATGGTCCTCATCCAGTTCAAGGCCTTCATCCAAAGGTTTTGGCAAGTCGCAATATCCCAAACGGGCATTTGTTGCAGAACAGGTTGACGACCTTGGTGACATTCCGGAACAACCGGAAGATGAGCAGCTGGACATTGAAGCAGATGATAATGGTTTTTATGAAGTTGAAGAAGAGTTCACAGAGGCTGTCGATAACGACATTGCAGAGGAAGCACCGGAATCCGAGATACAGGATACAGTTGCACAGCTGGCAGATGTTCTGACGGTGACCTCGAAGAAGTTGCAGAGCACCGTTTTGGGCAGAAAGTTCACTGGCCGACCTCGAACAATCGAAGAGAGAAAACGAACTTCGACATGCAGTGCTTGTGGCAAGTTAGGCCACTGGCATGGAGACCCTAGCTGCCCGCAGAGCGGATCGGCTTCACAAGGCCATGACTCCAAAGGCCGTGGAAAGCACTCGGCTGATGGCAAAGGAAAAGGTCAGCGCAGCAATTCCAATAGCAGTACACAGTATGCAAAGCAGGCATTTATGGTGCGTTTCCCGGACATCGATGACCAAGAGAAGACCTCTGAGAACACCTCCTTCTTTAGCTATACCACCTTCCTTTTGGACGACCACGTATGTTCTACCTACATGACTGAGCTGATCGATTTTTCGGGGACAATGATTTTGGACACAGCCTGCCAGAGAGCCTGTTGTGGACGTGTTTGGTTGGACCTCCACACCAAGATCCTCGATACCCATCGACTATCGGTCAAGCACATTGAAACTGCCGACATGTTCCAGTTCGGCTCAGGTGGACCAAAGCGCAGCACACAGAGGACCTACTTCCCGGCATCCCTTGCAGGCCAGGAAGCTCAGGGACTTTTGTTGGGAGTGAACGTGTTGGATGCAGATGTCCCTTTCCTTGCAAGCAACACCATGCTTCAGAAGTTGGGTTGCATCATTGACACGTCACAGAGTTTAGTTTCATTTGCTGTGCTTGGTGTGACTTTGCCGCTTGAGTTTAAACATGGGCATTGGGCAGTGAACATTTGTTGTTTTCCACCTCGTGTTCATCAGCATGCATGTTGGAAAGAGTTGAGCAAGGATTCATTTTGGCTTGCACCGGATCCGGAAGTCATTTTGTCGGAAGCCTTTTTGGAGCGAGATCGGACTCGCGCTCAATTCGATCCTCCTGTCGTGCCGTTGACACCTCATGCTCACCACCGGCCTTCCACCGGAATGGCTTCAGAAGTGGAGAACCATCATCTTGAAGGTGATGATGATCGAGTTCAGAGCCTTGGCAGCGATGTCCCGGCTTGTGAGGTTTGGTTTGAGACCACGCCAATGGATGACGGCGTGGGAACTGGAAGAGACCAAGAAGGATCAGTTGAAGGACGTGGCACAGTCCTCGAAGACGACTCCAGCACATCCCATGTCGACTTGCACACACCCGGAGTTCAGAAGGTATGGCAATCGGAGCGGAAGCTACGCTCAGTGCAAGCGATGCCTGGCAAAGTTCCAATGGAACCCAGACGATCAAGGATGGCTTCAGCTGGGTGGTCAGTCCTCTTCGCGATCTACACCCTTGCCGCTTCCTTCTTCGGACAACATTCTCTGTCCGGTGACCGGCTTGGACGCGATTCAGTACAAGCAGACAGCTTTGGCGAAAGCTGGACCCAAGCCCAAGGCCAAGAGATCTCCGACCTCATCGAGCACCTCACGACCGACCAAGGGCCATGGCAAGAGCAAGGGCAAAGTGCCCATCATCCACCTTCCAGAGCAGGACGACCAATCGGCATGGACTCCCGAGGAGTGGGAGACCCATTGGGAAGAGATTCGAACAACCTACCAGCCGCACGACATCATGATGCCAGATTCGGACCATCCGGATCAGTTCCCAGACGACCTCGAAGAGTGGACTCCGAGGTATGCTCCTCACCTTTTCAACTGAGTGGAGACCATTGGGAGGTCAAGCAGGGCATGTGCATCCGGCACCACTTGGTTCCAAGATGCAGCTACTTCGACCTACAACACTGCGAATGCCCTGTACCCCTTCGTCGGTTGAACCCACAATGCACGGCAGAGATGGAGTTTCTAGACGGCTCCTATGGCACCTTCACCTATGAATGGCAGTGCTCGCAAGCTCCTGTGCGATCTCAGTGGACAGGTCGCACCATTTTCTTTATCCACAACCAGTTCAACCAAGACAAGAACAGCCTGGCACCTTTGAAGAGCAGGCGCAAGCTTCTTGATGGAGTCCGCAGAGCACTGCGAGTCTATGAGATTGAGTACACCGCCATGAATGAGTTGGCAGAGAAGCGGCCCGTGTCTCAGGTTGACATCTTCGAAATCCTGAACACCAACTATGAACTGCTCGAGACCTTCGCAGGGCAGGCAAACATCACACGCAGGGCCAAGAGCTTTGGTTTGAAAGCCATTGAGCCGGTGGATTACAACACTGGCTTTGATTTGAGTCAGGTCACTGACCAAGAGCGTGTGAGTTCCATGATCGACCGCTTCAAGCCCCTCATCCTCATTCAAGGGGTGGACTGTAGAGATTGGACCCTCCTCCAGGACAATGTGAACTACCTACATCGACAAATTCAATTGCAGAGACGGCGAAGAAAGGCCAGGAAGATCCTCAGGCAAGTTGCTGATTGGTGCATTCAGCAATCCAAGCACGGCCGTTACTGGCTCATTGAGAATCCATTGACCAGCCGTCTGTGGCAAGAACCTTCTGTACAACAACTTCGTGACCTACCTGGCACCGAAGAGGCAATCTGCCATGCAGGCGCTTATGGCGCCACCAACTCCAGAGGAGAACCGATTCGCAAAGCACACCGCTTCCTTGGAAACTGCCCACCAGTTCTTCGTCGACTTCAACGACGGTTGACCGCTGAGGAGCAGAAACAATGTGTTTCCCTGGAAGGTCGTGATACGACCCTGAGTGCAGTGTATCCTCCTGATATGGTCAAGGCCATACTGCTTGGAGTCCGTGAGTTGGCCCAACAAGATGATCGGCATCGTTTCCAGCAACTTGGCCATAGACAGGTTCCTTTTCAAGTCAGAGTGGTCCACTTCACGAATGCAGTTGCGAGTTGGCTGCCAGCTTTCGAGATGGCTGACGACACCTTCCACAAGGTCAGCAACCGGAACTTCCTGGTTCCTCACTCACATCCACTTTGGAACAAAGTGAGCGAGTTGGTCGGTTGGCCACGAATGGAACGCATTCAGCTGACGGTGCAACCTGTCATCCATCGACTACCAGTCCATGTGCCGTACACTCATCGCGGCTGGGCATTGCGATTTTCAGATGGCACCTATGACATCAGCTATGAAGACTTGAGTGATGTCCACCATCCTCGTGGCCGCTTTCCAAAGCCAGTCCAAGTGGGAATCTTTTTCTATGGATATGGTGATCCTGAAGAAGACGACATCGAAGCACCAGCATCCATGGGTGATGCTGAACCAGCACCGCCTGACCAGCGACCTCATGAAGTCCAACCGCAACCTTATGAAGTACAACCGTTGACAGAAGATGACCCAAGAAGACAAATCCAGCTATCACCACCGCACGGCATACACTTCAAGCCCGGCACCAAGATCTCACAAGAGATGAAGCACATGCTTTCAAGAGTGCACCGCAACATGGGACACCCCAGTGCCGGCGAGTTGAAGAACATGCTGTCTATGTCGGGCGCTCGTGACCCGGCTTTGTTTGCCGCCATCGATGGCATGACCTGCGACACTTGCGAGAGGACTCGCATGCCACCTCGACCTCCTCTAGCACATCCACCTCGCGATGGCTTTCAGCAGTTTGGAGATTCATTGCAGATCGACATTGTCTACTGTCGTGACACCGGCGGAGCAAACTACCCCATCCTTGGGGTGATCTGTGAAACCACACACCTTCACACTGCCACAGTCTTGGAGAGCCGAGCACCAGAAGAGACCTTCCGCAAGTTCATGCTTTGTTGGGGCAGACCTTATGGACTACCTCTCACAATCCGCACCGACCCAGATGGGGCCTTCAGAGGCCGAGACACAGGACAGTTCGAGGCAGAGCTCTCAGCCTTGGGCGTCTACATCGACTATTGTCCACCAGAGGCTCATCACCGCCTCGGACTCATCGAACGACACAACAGCACCATGCGCTACATCATGGAGAAGTTGGTGAACCAGAACGGAGTCACTGGCCCTGATGGCATGGAGAGAACTTGCGGTGCCGCAACCTATGCCAAGAACTCTTGCACTTGGAGTTCAGGACGGCCGCCTTTCGTTGCCGCCCTTGGGCGCATGCCCAGAGTTGGACTGGACTTGCTGTCCAACCCCCGTGGTTTGATCATGGGCAGCACTCAATCAGAAGTCCAACGACACTCGGACTATCTCCGCATTGAAGCACAACAACACCTTGCTGCCATGACAGTTGATGCTTCTTTGAGACGAGCTCTTCTGAGGAGAACACCACCTCAGGCAGAGTTGGAAGCACCGGTTGGCTCCATTGTGGCATACTGGCGATGGATCGCTCGTTCTGGGCGGAAGCGTGGCGGGTACAGACTCGCTCGACTTTTGGGACGAGATCCCGACCAGAAGTCCTTCTGGATCCAATCCGGAACAAACACCATCAAGGTGGCTCAACACCAGATCCGAGCAGCTCATGGCTATGAGCAGTGGATCCCAGATGCCGCCGACATACAAGCACTTCGACAAGCATCAGCAAACCTTCAGCAAGGCATCCTACAGGATGAAGAGATTGCACAAGCACCACCAGATACCGAACAGCAGATCACGGAAGATCCCTACATGAACATCGAAGCCGAGCCAGACACACCAATGCTCCTGCCCACGCTTACACAGCAGCATCCGGCAGCAGCAGACACAGAAGCACGACGACATGAGCAGGTTCAGACCGAACCTCAGGCATTACACATACCAGTACAAGAACCGGCAGTGGAGCAACACCTCCACATGAACATCAGCTCACCGAGCTACAAGCAGACGAACATATACCAACAGCAGACCTTTGGCTTTGGACCAGAAGAGGCATCCAGAGCACCAGTGCGCACACCCGTGCGACAACCGTACAGAGCACGTTCCAAGACACCAGTTCGGCGACTTGGAGGCACAACGAGTCCGCAGCAGCAGTTGGAAGCGCCTGCAGAAGCACAAGCACCAGCAGCCGCAGCAGGACATGGCACTTCACCAACAGGTGACACTTCACAAGTCATCGACCTGACACCCGATGACGAAACAGCAGAGGCAAAAGCACTTGCACGGATGATTCCCAGAACACCTGAGGAGTTGTCTGGACAAACGACACCGACACTTGCGGAACTTGAGCATCGGCACACACCGGCAAAGCGAAGCATAGCAGAAACATCACCAGAGGCACTCTTGGAGAGCAGCTCCAAGGGACAAGCAACAGGCAGTGCACCACACACAGTGGCATTGACACACAACCACCTGATTTACAACACAGCAGATGGCATCCACACGCAAGAGGATGGCTTCGACGGCACGGAGACCATCAAGATGCCACACAATGCACACACCTGCCTGAATGCTTACCGGCGCTCACCTGACTACGCCGGCAACGGCGACAGTGAAGAGTCAGAAGACGGTGGTCCTGACCTTCGTGGCCTCAAGCCATCCGGCAGCCCACCGCTGTCAAGGATTGAGCAGAAAGCCCTGGACAAGGAACTTCCTTGGCAATTCATCATGCAGCAATCCGAAGAGTACATCCAGGCCTTCGTGAAGTCAGCTCAAGATGAAGAAGCTTCCTGGAACCAGTGGGAAAGCGTGAGGCCATTGTCAGAGAAGGAGGCTGAGCATGTGTACTCCACGCCACACCTTCGAAAAAGGATTCTCAAAAGCCGCTCAGCTTTTCGAGACAAGAACAAGCACATACCGCCCTTGAAGGCGAAGACTCGTGTCGTGGCCATCGGATGCCTCGACCCGGACATCTTCAGTTTGAATCGTGAATGTGCTACCCCCACTCGTCAAGCCGAGTTTGTTTTGCTGGCCTTTTTCATTTGTGGCAAGAACAAGATGCTCTTGACACAAGAGAGCACGTGGACGTTGTGGAGTGGTGATGTGAAGACGGCATTTCTCCAGGGACAACAAGAAGGCCGTGCAGCGCCGCTGTACCTGGCACCTCCTCGTGATCCAATCACGGTTCGAGCGCGAACATTTGCTGCCCCTTTGTATGAAGTCCGTGGCAACATCTACGGATTGGCAAATGCTCCAAGGGTTTGGTCATTGGAAGTCACCAAGCGACTTTTGAAGGCTGGATACGTACGCCACACACTGGACCATCAGCTCTTTTACTACTTCCAGAAGCCTCCAGGTGGTTCAGAGGAAGTGTTGATGAGCGTCCTTATGGTGTACGTGGACGACTTCCTCCTCGCCCATGATGACAGGTATGACCGTGAGCATGTTTTGAGTCTTTTTACCTGGGGCTCCAAGACTGAGCTCACAACAGAAGAGAGCATTTGTTTCAAGGGCAAGCAAATTCACTTGAAGTTCGATCGCCAGAAGAATGTGTACTTTTTGAGTCTGGTGCAGACAGCTTTCATCGAGAGCATGCGTGGCCCTCAGACGAAGATCCCGAAGAGCAAGTTCGACCAGGAACTGGCCACTGAGGACCTCTCTGAGATGCGCTCAGTCGCTGGAAGTTTGCAGTGGGTCTCAGGCCAAACAAGGCCGGACGTTGCCGCCACTGTTTCTTTGAGCTCCCGTGGTCAGAAGACCAAGTACAGTGACTTGGCGGCCATGTTTGAAGCTGTCGCTCACCTCCAGAGTACAAAGCATTTAGGCTTGAACTTGTTCCCAGTGGTTTTGAATGAGACCACCCACTTGCTGACCCTTTCGGATTCGAGCTGGGCAAACGCCGAATCCTTTGCTTCGCAGCACGGCTGCCTGACTTTGTTGGCAGAGCCATCGATCGTCGAGAGAACCGGGACTGCACTCCTCCTCGACTTTAAGTCGTCCCGGAGTCCTCGCATCTGCCGTAGCACTTTGGCAGCCGAGGCATCGGCAGCTGACATGTCTGTTGATAGGACCTCATTTTTGAACCACATGATTTGCGAGATGTTTCAACGGACGCCTTCGTATAGACTCTCCCACCTGCTTCGAAGCTTGCACATCACGGATTGTCGTTCCCTTTACGACTGCATTTGCTCAGAGAACCCGAACACTGAAGAAAAGAGAACGATAATCTCGATCCGCAGCACTCAGCAGGAGGTGACCCGAGAAGGTTGTCACTGGGTTCCGACCCAATTGATGTTCGCCGATGGACTCACGAAGATTTCAAAGCAGCTCATGGAATCCCTGATCAATTGGCTCCAGATGCCATGGATTCAGCTGCGTGAGTCGAAGACAAGCCAGCCAATAGAGAAACACGAGTGTGAAATTTCATCCTTTGCTTGAGCACATGGCTGTCTTGTCAGGTCCGTTCGGCACGTTCCGCAGTTCGAACTCGAGCTAGTCCCCTTTTGCTGAAAAGGCCGCTTCCTTTTCATGCCTGACACCTGGTTCATTTCGCACGTACCATGGTGAGACCTGTGTCATTTGTTTGTGGCTGATGGTCGGGCTTCGATCACTTCGCCAAATCACACCGCAGCCAAGGACTGACTTCGCCAGAGGCCACCGAATGGACCAGGCGGATGATTCACTAGAGATGTCTTGGCTGTTTGTGTAGATGGATTTTCTTGGGATGTGATGGCCCATCGAAAATAATGCTGCACCAAGGGTCACCTGACTAACCGACCATCTTTGTGAGGTCGAAAGGCTCAAGGCTGCAGTTCGTGATGGGTCCCTTTAAAATCCTCAAATCAATCCAAAGTGCAGTACCTTAATAAGTGACCCCAGAACGCTCCGCGAATGCGTTACTCCCCGCATTGCTGGCTGCCAGGCAGCTCCAGAAGATCGTCGAAACCCAGACACTTGGAGAAGAATGTGTCAAAGCAGACCATGGGGGCGGATCTGGGCCTCCCCTCAATGGCCCGAGCCAGTGAGAGACAAGCTAAGCAGAAGAGATCCCTGATAGGTCATCGAAGGTTCTCAGAAGCTTAACAGGTTTGGCACAAACATGTGGAGGTCGTGAGCAGGGACAAGCATGGAGAACTCTCGTCCAGCGAGGGTGACCAGCACTTCTTGTTGACAAGGCCAGCGAGGGTTCCAGCGGTACGACGTTTTTGGATGACTTGGCCTTGTCATTGTGACCAGGCCTTGTCACCCTCCTGGATTAACAGGGTTTGTGTTTGTCGCCCATCCCCCACAAAATTGGAGTTTCTAAACCAAAATTTGAAGTGGCTGAAGCTGTCTTGCAGATTGAGACTAACCGGAGTTTGTTCAGTAAACGAACTCATTGAGGGTTTTGAAGCAAAAGGCTGACTCAAAAAATGACAGAACACTAAGTTGTGGTGTGGGTCGACATTGAAGGTCTTGATTTGTGTCGATTGACAGTCCTTCGACTCATCAGGGATGTCGTCGAACATTGAATCCGTGCGAGCCAGGGTTGCATACCTCTGGACCAGTGGTACTTGTACAAGTGCTCCAACCCAGCCAACCTCGTTTTGCTCCGATGGGTTGGTCATTGCCCACGAAACCCGTCCACCCAGCCCAGCGAGGAACGCCAAGATCGACTCACCCATCCATGTCTACATGGTCTCCCAGAACCTGCAGATGCTGGATGTGGAAGAAGGCCGCCGCTGGGGCCTGGCGGGGCCTGGCTGGACCTGGTAGGTGAGAAATATGCAGCGCGTGGTCTATAGTTCTAAGTGATTGTCCGTCGCTATAAAGATGTCCTAAAGGCCAGGCCGGTCTGCTTTTTGTTTTGAATGTATTTGATTTGACTCATCTGGGTGGCGTGTTTGTCTATGTGTTCTGTCCTCCCACCGGGCCATATAACGCCCCAGATGGGTGGTGAGGTGTCTTGAGCTCGGTGCCGAACTTGATCCTCTTCAGCTTGGTGGGCTGCCTGGTGATGATCGGCCTGATCTTCCGATCTGCTCCTCGACAGTTAGACATGTTGCAGAAGAGAGGGGGGTGTTTGTCTAGGGCGGAGTGGGTGGCCTTGGTTGGGTTGGTGATAGTGGCAGGTCTGGAGGGCTATATAGAGCAAAGATCACCAAGTTGAGCGAGAACAAGCACATGATCCACCTGCGCACATGTGCCTCGCCAGGTTGTAGAGCTCTACTGGCAAATGACTTCTCTACGTGAAAAATGTGTGAACGCTGTGAGCACCATGTATGAGATATCATCACCTTGGACAAGTGTCCACAGTTTTTTGAATAACCTTCTCCTTCCAGCTCAGTTGGATTGGTTGGATCCTCAGCATGACACAAGGTTGAACGGAAGGTTCAGCTTTGGTCCGTGACCACTTGTACAACCGCTTTTGGGGAGAAGCTTTGGGAGTTACCTCTGTCACCTCCCTTCCAATTATGTCCCTGATCACAAAACTTGGTGGGCGATGCCTGAGCCCTCCTAGGTGATGATTGCAGTGAGAGGTTTGGTCACTGAGCTGCAACGGCAGAAGCTTGCTTTTGGGGCGCTGTTGCCCAAAAAATGACCGAGAAACTGGCAGAGGTGGGACGGTCGGAGTCCGGACGGTGTGAGAGGTTTTTCGAGGTGAGTGAACAGAGCCCCGGCCCAGTCGCTTGGTTCGAACATGTTGAAACTGGAGAATGATCCCGCATACAGGTGACCAGGTGTCGGTGTGGAATTGTTCGAGGGCTTCCCCGGCCTCCCAAGGCTTTCGAGGCTGCATTGATGCAACCAGAAAATGCAAAAAGGAAAAGAGGCATTGGAAGGAATCACCTCACAAAACACCATTCTAGCTGGAGGTGGGGCAGGTGTATTGACAGAGCTTTTTTAGGTTCACGCTTCAGTTGCTTCAGGCAAACCTATCCAATGTGGGTGCCACAAGGATTCTCGTCAAAGTGTTTGCCTCACCCCGCCTACCTGCACCGATGGGACCATGTCTTGGGTTGGCACCTGGGCTGAGGTGACCATCGTCTTCACCCTTGCAACTTGGCCGAGGTGAAGCACTCCACGTGCTCTCACGCAGGTGAAGCATTAGCGGGTTGCTGGCTAGACCTTTAAAAAGAATGAAGCATTTGGGTTTGCCGCTTGCATCTGAAACATGGCAGGGGGAGAGCGTATGAATAGCCGCACTGAGCAGCACCCCCCTCAGCCACTGTGTCCTGAGGCCGTGGTCTACATGGCCGGGAGGCTTAGGAATGGAAGCTGAAACATGTTGAAGAGTTCGTCCAACCGTGCACCACCGTTGATGGAAAAGATCCAACACCAAGAAATCATTTGTCCAGCAGGCCCAACATATTGCATCATATTGCCAAGACCCCCTCAGACACCGCACCTTGATTCCAACGAGCTGCGCCTTGTTGGCCACGGCCAACCTGCCAAATCCATCCAAATCCTGCCAACCAGTTCAGTCATCCGGACCGACCCGTTGGACCGGACCCTTCAAGGCGGCGCATGGGGTCTTTCAGCTGGGCTGGTTGCGGACCTTGGGTCTTCCCCTCGGCGGCACCGAAGGCGCGCTGGGTGGAGAGGTGGAGAGGTGTGAAGTGATGCGAAGTGGAACGGTGGACAAGGTGGGAGGGACCAATGGAAAGCAGCAGCTGAAGTATTCAAATTGGAAAGGAGGTGCAAGCACAAGATGGAGTTTGCACAGGAACTTCCTTCAGGTTGTTGTTGGGAGGTGCCTTGTTTTACAAAAGTCGTGCCCTGCTTTGGAGATTGAGGTGATTCGCACCTTTTGGGTGGCTCTCCTTTCAGTTTTGATCCTTTTTTGAGAATATCTGAAAGGCCTCCCGTCCTCATGAGTCCTCATGGCAACGGACATAATATGAAATAATTGTGGTGTCCTGGCTGTCCCGGCCAGGCCTCTTCTTTATGGCCAGGCACTCAGGTTTTGAGAGGAGGAAGGTTTCAAGGGAGATGTGCTCCCGGTGGAAAAGAGGAGATGGTCGATTCCTAAGTTCGGGGGTCAACCAATGACTTGGGGGGCCACTGTTGGGGTAGCCTGGCTGCTAGGGGGCCTTCACAAAACCACAGTGTTTTTTTGTTTTGACCTTGTCGAATCTATCCAAACCACTGGACTTGTGCAACATGGTCGCCGTAGTAGAATCAACTGTAGCCTTAGGCTCCCTGTTCCAACCATCTCCGACCAAGAAGCTGGGGTGGTTGCAAATGCAGACTATCTAGAAGGTTGAAATGGATAAGGCCAGTGCTGTCTTGCTCACCCTACCGGATGCAAAGCGCACTGAAGTATTCTGTTTTTGTTGCAGGGATCAGTTCTGAGGGGAGTCCATCATTGCAAATCCCGACTGAAAAGTCTGGGGAGCTACTGCTGTTCATCTCGGCCCTGTGACTCGTCTTTTGTATAACCGAATCAACATTGGTTTTCCATCTCAGCCCATGTCGGCCGTCGGCCCTTTCTTCCTTGCAGCAAACATGTCCGTTTAGTGTTGAGGCTCCTGTGACTGCATTCACTATTGCGCCTTGACCGACGGGGGGTCAGAGAGGTTGGATGGTGGCTCGTGGTCTCTACTGGTCGCCACTGGAGGCAGCCGGGCCTTGGAACATGTTACGACTTGGTGAAGGATGTGGCCATGCTCCAACCTCATGCTGAGGCATGTGTTCGCATGTGTTCAACAATGGTCAAGTTGTTCGGTACTGTATACTATTGCCTGAACCTGCACTTTGGATGCCCTGGATTTGCATTGACCAAACTTTTATGGAAAGGGAAGCCTGCCAAAAACAGAAATCTTGTACTGTTCGTAGATCCAACCCTTAACGGTGCAACCCTGGACTCCTAATGTAATTCCAAATATGCCTTTGTTTGTGAAAGGAAGGGGTTGGGACTGAGTCATAGGTAGATAATTATGTATTGAATCATTTTGATACATGTTATGTTGTTCTTGCCAAGTTTGTCATCACCGTGATTCTTGAAGCGATATGCCCCTGTGAGTGTGCTTGTGTTCAGCTGAGAAAGGCTGACTTGCCAGCAGCCGAAGGGAGACTCA